GACTGAGGCTGGGCTGGGGGTAGATGTCCTCTCCGTTCGGTGACACCCCCTTGCATCCCTGTGCTCCCCAGGCGTGCACGCATGCACGCACACACCCTCCCTTTAAGCCTTCGGGGCCCTGCAGCTAATTCCTTGGGCAGCAGAAGTTATTAAAGACTCTTCCCAGAAGGGTTTCTCTCCCCCAGAGTGAATCTGGCACAGAAAATTACAAACCTACCTGCGGGGGTGGGGAGATAGAATTTTAATTTATAAAAATAGAAAAAGCACACTCATGCTGTGGTCTTGGAGTCTGGGGGAGGGAGGAAGCTCATGGGGGGGCTCCCCTGGGACATGCAGCACTGTTACTGGGGGGCTGGCTCTGGGAGGGGCTCAGCAAGGTGAGTGAGCAGCTTTGGCCCAGACAGATGGGGGCAGTGAGTGGAGCTAGGGGGTATCACTCCTCTACTCTGACCCCCTCTCCCTATCCCTGGGGCTCTCGGCCTCTCTCCCTACCTACTGGCACATCCAGCGGGGCCTTGGTACCCAGCTAGCTCCTGGCCGTGTCCTCCTTCCAGGACCCCCACCCTGCTTTCTGCCTTGCTCCCTGACAACTACCTCTCTCTTCTCCCAGCAATTCATCTCACCCTTGTCCTCTTTCGACCAAGTGTTATTGTTTTTGGCTAATTATGAAAGTCAGGCCTGGCATTGCACGCCCCATCCAAGCAATAAACAAGAAAATAAGGTCACCTTTAAGCCTCTCACCACGCCCACCAGCCACAAGTTACAGGTCCGTCCAGACTTCCCTTCTGTGCCAAAAAATATTTTTAACCTTGGGCTATTATTACATACCCTGTTTTGTAAGCAGCCTTCTCGGCTTAGCAGTATATGGCAGCCGTCTCTCCATGCCGATAAATATAGATCGACAACATGCTTTTTAATTGCTGCATAGGAGTCCATTGTACGGCCGGAGCCTGATTCATGCCAGGCCTCCATAGTGATGGACTGTAGGTGGCTTCTCCTCTCCCCTTTCCTCCTGAGTCCTTCCCGCGTCCTGTCCCCCCTGATTTTCCTCTTTCTCTCCACGCCTCCTCTTGCATCTCCCCTTTTCTCTTCACCCCTCTCGCCCCCTCTCCTCTCCTGCCTTCATCCCCAGTGTCCAACCCTCTGTTTTTCCTCTCCTGCCCAACCCATTCCCTCTACGCCCTCCGCCCCCACAAGGGGTGGGGGGCTGTCGGTGTTTAACGCAAGCTCCCCTGTGGCAGACATGTGCCATTTCATTAGTGCGCCTGTCCCCCCAAGTGAGGCAGGCAGGAGCCACCGTGGCCGCGAGAGGCCTAATTGAATGTAACTAATTATTCACTCCCTTAAATGGGCCTGGGAGGGACAGAATTACTCACTCTGAACTGGGGAGACAGGGAGCTGGCCGGCTGGCAAACAAATCCTGGGGCCTGTGGCGTGGCTCTCCTTGGCATACTAATTAGGCAGGAGTGAGACTGGATAGAATCAGGGGCAGAGTTGCCAATCGGTCCCCCTCTGATCCTGGAACCCAGTGGGAGGAGAAATGAGTCCTTGTGTGAATCTAATTGGAGGCCTGATCCCACCCGGAACCCCAGGGAAGTGTTCATGTGGAGGGTGGGGGCGCTGGGGAAATGAAAGGCTGGGCCTGTGGCTGGAGGAAGGCAGGGGGCTAATGTTTAATATGGAGACAAGCAGGAGGGCACAGCAGCCCTGGAGGGAATGCGCCAGGTGGGGGTGGATGACAAGAAACCTCAGTCCCCCTAGAGGCCCGGGGCTCAACTGGCCCCCAGAGGGTCCCCTCTGCTCCCGCACGACCAGGGCCAGACACTGTGCTGCAGACCGGCGCCCACTGTCCTCACCGCAGCCCTCGTGGGCTGGCGTGCTTCTTATCGGAGATGAGGGAAGCAAGGCTCGGAGAGGGGAAGTGACCCGTCCAAGTCAGACAGCCAGGCTGGGGCTCAGGCCCGTCTAGCTGCCAAGCTTGGGTTCCTGTCCCCTGCAATGACCCAGGTCCCACCCCTGACCGACTACATAAGACGTCTGTGCCGTGGGGTGTGATGGTAGCCGACCAGGCATCGTATTGTTTTTTGGAACCTCCCAGTGACTCTAACATTCAACCAGGACTGGAAACCACTGGTTTAGTCCTTCGTTCCCTATCTGGGTGTCTGCTCCTACTTTACATTGTTCGTGACATCCTTTCCTCCACTCACTCTGTCCTCTCATCCATCCCGTCCCAGACGAACTCCGAGCGGTAGCCTGGCCTGTGCCCGGGTTCCTGACATCCGGGAGTGTGACGTTTGGGGGCAGATGGAACTGTGTGGAGCAGGATGAGGGAGGTGACTTGGGTCGGGGAGGAAGGCTGGGAGGAGAGCCAGGAAAGACCTGGATGTGGCCCCTGGGGGCTCTGGGCTACACAGGTCTGGGCATTTCCTGGAGGTCAGAGGTGAGAGGTCAGTTAGGAACGGTGCAGAAATGGAAAGAGGGGAGAAACAGAATCAGGCTGTGGAGAGAGTGAAGAGGTGTGTGTGTGTGTGCATGCGCATGTGTGTGCACGCGTACAGACATAGTAATCATGACTCTGCCTACCATTTATGTGCCAGGTGCTTCTCACACATTAGCTCTTTTGATCCTGACAACAAGCCTGTGGTGGAATATTAGTTATTCTCGCAGCTGAACAAGGTGAGGCTCAGAAGGGTTGAGTAAGTGGCCCACGGAAACACAGGACAGCCAGTATCAACGTCTAGCTTCCCCGGGTTCCAAGTCCCATGCTCCTGTCTCCCGAGCTGCTCTGATTCTGCGATTGCATTTGTGATTTCTTCTCTAGCAGGTGTTAGTGTGGGCGTGCTGCTATTCCGTGTGTGTATGCGTGCGTGCTTGTTCGATGTGTGTGTGCTTGTGCGCTTGTAAAAGGAGCTACTGTGGACAAGCTTCCCTCTCCTGCCCAGCACAGCCTCCTGATGACCAGTGATGGGAGGGAGGAAGGGACACCCGCCCCTGTTTCGTGTTCCCTTTCCCCCAGCCAGCTCCAGAGCCCACCCTCCTGGTAGGGGAAGGCAGGTCACCCTGCCAGCCACGTGACAAGTAGCCTTCTTTGTAACAGAGGTGGAGAGAGAACCATAACAGTTTGAGGGCTGGGAGATTTCCCCTTCCCCATGCTTTCCTGCCGCCCTCTCTTCTGTCCACAGTGGAGGCGGCAGGGAGAGATGAATGGTGGCCACTCTCGCCCCCCTCCGTGGAAGCTTCACAGAGGGGCAGCAAATTTATGAGCCCAACGCAGAATCTGCAGTCACCTCGCTGGCCAATCCATCTTTCGGGAGCTAGGGATGAAATGAAATTATCGTGAAGTAAATCTGTACAGATAATGGAGGTACTGGCTGGATGGGGCTGCGGTGGTGTGAGTGGCAGAGGAAGCTGAGACTCAGGGGGAGGGCCATTGCCACTGCCCCCTGGCCGAGGCCCAGAGAGGGGACTCCTCTGACTTTCCCCGTGGGAGGACTTTGGCGGGGACACTGTGTTCCCTCTATGCCCCCAACTCTCCCTGCAGCCTCCTGCCCAACAAGACAACAAGACTCTTCTCTGAAGAGCTGGACGCAAGACCCTGCAGCCTGTGATTGACGTTGAAGACTCCCCGAGTCAGAGAGAGAGCAGGGCAAACTGAGAAGGGCAGCTGGACCAGGGGCAATTAAGGGTCGGGGATGGGCCTAGGGTTGGGGGTGGGGGGGCAGCAGAGTCAGGGACCACATCCTGGGTGACACTCTACATCTTAGTTACCCACCAGTCATCATGGCCAGGAACCAATCAGATGGGCTCTCAGAAGGGCAGGGACTCTAGAGGCCCCCTGCTGAGCCAGGTGTTGATTCTTTAATTTCTGGAAAAGAGGAGAAAACCAGGGAAGGAACCAGTGTGTTGGGGCTGCTTGGAGAGCTTGGGCAACGCCATGTATCAACATGCTTGGGAATAGTTCAGTATTTTAACATCTTTTATAGCAGGACTGGTGTGTCCAGCTGAACCACAACCTTGGAGCAGGGCAAAGGTTTGGGCCAGCAGGTCCCGAAAGCCCTGGTGTCCCTTTCCATCCCTTTGGCCAGCAGTGTCTGGGTCCCCTCCCGCAGAGACCCTGTCCGACTAATGGCCTTTAGGCTGGTGAACCAGGGGAGGGGCCTAGTGCTGAAGGACCCACAGGAATGACGGAGCCACAGCCTTCCTGCCTCCCCCTCACCACCTCAGCCAGCTCTCAGGGGACCCCATCCACCCTGAGCGCTGAGCTGGAAGTAGATGCAGCCAACCTGCTGGGATGCAATCATTCACCCCTGGAGCCAGGCCAGCCCCAGCCACAGGGAAACAGAGGGGGGGCTTTCCCGGGTCACTGGCAGGAGGAGCCCTCTCCAGCTCTCTCTGGCCTTGCCCTGGGTCCCCCTGGGCCTCCTCTTCCCAGGAAGGAGCACGGGGACTTTGGGGGATGATAAGGGCCAGGCGGCCAGGCCATCAGGCCGGGTTGGGGCTGGTGTGTGAGTGCAGCCCCAGGCCTGCAGCAGGGTTGGGGCGGGAGCCAGATGCAGACTCACTCGGGAAATGAGATTTGCTTTGTTATCTGTGTTCTCTCAGGCCAAGGTCTTGGGCATGAACTAACCCAGCCAAAGAGTCAAAAAGTGGGAGGGCCTGGAAGTGGGGGGCAGGGGCCAGGAGAGCTGAAATGGATAGAGCACCTGCTGGAGTGTGTGTGTGCGTACATGTGCGTGTTCCTGGGTGGCTTGTATTTGTGTTTTTTTGTCTCCAAAAGTGTATGTGTATTTTCCTGGTGAATGTGAATGTCCTTTAAAAGAATGTGCCTGTAAGTGCTTTGCTTCCTGCTCCTGTGTGTTGATATTTCTCTTTAGAGTGTGTGTGTGTGTGTGTGTGTGTGTGTGTTGTGTACAATCACACACTCCAAATGGTTTTGTTGACATGCCTCAGTCACACCCCAGTCTCCTCAGAAGCCTGCAGGCCTAGACACAGCCTAAGGGTCAGAGCCAGGCGGGCAGGGCATGCAGGGCGGTCACGGGCAAGCTGGGCCCTGGAGGTGGCACCAGCCTGGCAGGGAACAAAGGGGCAATCAGTTGAGAGGCCATGAGAGGACTGGCTGATTGAGGAAGAGAAATTAGCGAGGAGCCTCCTGGGAGCCTGCAGGGGGGTGGGGGGCGTGGGGGGCCCCTGGCATCCTGATTAGGAAGCAGGTGCAGCTGGGCTCACCTGAGCTGCAGGGGGCCTGGCAGAGGAGGGGCAGAGGGTGAAGCCCAGGGCTGAGCCAGGGACAGACGGCATCCAGGACTGGGGCTGAGGACCTGCAGTGATGACCTTGAGGGGAGGAGCGAGGGCTCCCAGGGAAGGAGGGACCGCCTGACTGGGCAGACACCACCATCACCCTGGCAGCTCCCACCGACCCAGAGCTCACAGTGGGCCCGGGGACACGCTAAGCGTCTGCCACACCATCCTCACAACACAGAGGCAGTTCTGTCATCGTCCAGGCTCCCAACTGAGGAGACAGGTACCCAAAGCGATGAGAGACGTGCTCAGGCTGCACAGCTCCTCACCCAAGTCCGCTAGAGCCCCACCTCTGTTAACCCATATGCCACCATGCCACTCGCTCCCCAGCCCCCTGGCGCATCGCCAGTGGGAGAAGTTACAGGGAGATGGATTGCAGGGACAGCAAAAGAAGGATTTACGAGTAAACCTGACCAGCAAAGCAGACTGACCTGGGAGGTGGTGAAATGCCCATCACCAGAGTAGCAAGGCGTGGCTCACTGCCGGAGGGCTTTCCTGCAGGATGGGAGGTTAGTTCCACTTTCTCTACCACTGTACTAGGGACTTGGGTCAGAGCCCCTGGGTTGAAATCCTAGCTCTGCCTTTTACTCACTCTGTGACTTTGGGCAACTTGCTAGCCATCTCGGCACTTCAGGTTGCTCATCTGTAAAATGGAAGGGCGTGAAGATTGAATGAGTGATACATGTAAAGTGCTTAGAACATGCCTGACACATAGTAAGCCCTCGATAAGTTCTGCCATCGTATATGTTAGCTGGGGCAGAGTGGGAATACACGGGGTGTGGGAGGTCAGAGACCTTGAAGGGATGAACAAAAAGCAAGATGGAAACGCAGGGGCTGAGTCAGGCGTGAAGGGCTGCACAGGGGGTCAGGTGAGCTCCGGAAGATCTCCAGGCTCAGTCTCCTCTGCTACAGACCAGACCTTACATCTCTCACCAGGATGGTCACGCCTCCCTTGCCCCTGCAGTTCCGGCCTAGTCTCTCCTCCATCAGCCCACACTCCACCCCATTAATATGACCATGTCACCCCATGCCCATAGCCTTCAGTGACCCCTTTGCCCATAGAAGTGGTCCCCCAAGTGTGCCAGGAGAGCCCAGAGGGCTGGGGAAGACCCTGGTGGTGCATGGTCGGGCGTCCCCGGGGATTTTCCAGTCCTTCAGTGCCAAGGAGGGCATCGAGGTTCGGCGGCCATTTGTCCTTACAGCTCTTGACAAAGGGAGACCAGGCTCAGACTCAGCCATCAGCACGCAACTGGATCTGCTGGAACTCAGTAACACTGGGGCGTTTGGAAACTCGATTTCTCCACTCTTGTCCTTCTTCTCAAACAGCGACTGCTGTCGGCTCAACGCCATGCTTCCTGGTTTGCATCCTCGTCACTGGCTACTTCTCCCCAGTCTCCTGTGTGGCTTTTCCTCTGCATCTGGCCCGCTGAGGCGGCTGTGCAGGGGGTCCTGCTGCGGGCCCCTTCTTGTCTGGGACTCTATCCAGTCCCGTGGCCTTAAACTCCACTAGTGATTCCCCAATGCATCTCTCCAGACGCAGGGAAATTTCCAGCTGTCTTGACATCTCCATTTGGATGTCCAACAGCGCTCTCTACCGCAAAATGGAGCCCGAGTTACTCGAGAGCTCCACCTCCCCTCTTGCCTGCCATTTCAGTAGATGGCTAAACATCCAGGAATTCCCCTGATTCCTTTCTCTTCCTGGACATACAATTCCTTTCTCAATTCTTTATATCACTATCTTCCTATCACTGTAGTATGCGCTTGATACTACAAGTCCTCAGAAAATAGGCTAGTGGTTGCCAGGGGCAGGAGGGAGAGGGAATGAGAAGTGATTGCTACTAGGTACAGGCTTTCTTTTGGGGTGATGAAAATGTTCTAAAATTAGTGGTGCTGGTTGCACAACTCTGTGAATATGCTAAAAACCACTGAATTGTACAATTTAAAAGGGTGGATTTTACACTACATGCATTATATCTCTATAAAGCTATTATTAAAAAACTAGAGGCCCGGTGCACGACATTCTTGCACTGGGGGAGGGGGGTCCCTCAGCCTGGCCTATGCCCTCTCGCAATCTGGGACCCCTCAGGGGATGTCCAACTGCCAGCTTAGGCCTGCTCTGTGGGGAGTGAGCCTAACCCATCAGTCAGACATCCCCAAGGGATCCTTAGCGCTGCTGTGGAGGCAGAGGAGGCTCCCGCCACCGCTACTGCGCTCACCAGCCGCCAGCTGTGAGCCCGGCTTCTCGCTGAGCGGCACTCTCCCTGTGGGAGCACCACTCAACCAGAAGCTGGGCTCGCTGCTCCTTAGCACTGCCTTGGAGGCAGACGTGGGAGAGGCTCCTGCCACTGCCGCTGTGCTGGCCAGCCCTGAGCCCGGCTTCTGGCTGAGTGGAGCTCCCCCTGTGGGAGCGCACTAACCACCAGGGGGCAGCTCCTGCGTTGAGTGTCTGCCCCCTGGTGGTCAGTGCGTGTCTAGCGACCAGTCGATTTGCATATTAGGGTTTTATTATATAGGATAACGTGAAAAAGTGATACTTTAAAGGAAAAAGCTAAAACAGTAGAGAGACACATGAATCTCTGGCAAAATCATGGAAGAAGAATGTGAAAGATTGAAGTTGGCTTATAGGCTTACCAGGATGAAGTCTCGACATCCTAGTTTGGCAGTCAAGGCTTAACTCCAGCTTCGTGCCGGCTCTTCTCTTAAATTTGGCCACACTGGGCTGCTCCCCATCTCCGAAACACTTAGGACCCTTTCAAGTTCCCTTGTCTTTGCAAATCTTGACGCCTGAGTGGGATGCCCTTTCTCCTTTTGTCCACTGGTTCAATCCAGTCCAGCCAATACTGATTGATAGGTGATGAGGCATGTGCCAGGCCCTGTGCCTGGTGCTGGTGAGACAGTGCAGAGGAGCAAGACACACCTGGTTGGACCCTGGCCTGGCTCCCAGACAGGCCGAGGGAGACAGATGAGTACCTGGCAACCACCAACCTGGAAGAAGATTCTGGAATGCAGGGAATGCTGGGGCTGCAGGAACGTAGCAGAAAAACACAACACAGCTTGTGAGACCCAGAGGGGATATAAGGGAACATTTCAGCTGGGGAGTTAACCAGGCAAAATTAGGGGGAAGTGGGTGGCAGGCAGAGGGGCCAGTCTTGGAGGAACCATCAGAAGGTGGATGTGGCTGGAATGCAGCCTGGGAGGTGGGGGGTGGGGAGGAATGATCTGAGAGAGAAATTTGGGGTTGGTGATCAGGGCCCTTGTAGGCCATGCCAACAGTCTCTGGATTTTTCCAGAGCTCAATTAGACCCCACACCACACAGTGTTATGGTTATTTTTCTTCACACCGCCCATCACCCCTGTCATTACACATCCATCTGTTTATTGTCTCTCCCCCACTAGAAAGGACACGGAACTTGTGCTGTTCACTGCTGTGTCCCCAACAGCCAGAGCAGTGTCTGGCTCACTAGACGCTCAATAAATACTTATCGAATGCGTGAATTTACGTGCCTGTCTCCTCTGCTTAACGGAGTCATTTAAAGTCAGGACACATTAATCATTGTGTCGTCGGGGCCTAGCACAGAGCTTGTTGCTTAATAAATATTTAAAGAATAAGTGAATGAATGAATGAATGAATATCTCCCCCAATGGGCTACAAATTCCTGAAGGGCAGGGACTGCTCAATTTATATCCCCAGTGCTCAGCGCGTTGCCCAGCAGAGAGCCAACAGTCAATAGAGGTTTTTTGAACTGAAGAAGAGTCTTCTCTGGACAGGGCTCCCGCCAGGCCTGCAGTGGATGCTCAAACAAGCACATCTTCCTCGATACTGGCTCCCAGGCAGGCAGGAAGGGGAGATGCCCTGCTGGCAAAGGCTCTCAGGACCTGGAGGACCTCAGGACCAGCCTGGCGTGGGTGGCAGGCAAGACAGAAGCACCAAGGAGGGCTTTGTAGGTGTCTGAGACCCTGCTCCTGCTCATCAGTCCCCTAGCCTCGCCTCCTCTGGCGACTGGCAGGCAGCTCTACCAATGAGGTGTGGGAGCAGCTGGGGGTGGTGGTGGGATAGGACAGATGGTGGGAGACAAGGAAAACCCCATGTTCTCTTCCATCTGTTACATTTAATTGACTTCCCGCAGAAAGAAAAAAAAATAAACCAGTTGCGTGGATGAAATTGCTAATTAAAAGGCCCTCTGATTAGATAGACAAATATTTACCAATTATGCCTGGCCCTGTCTGTCCCTCTTATGTCTGCAAACTCTCCCATCAGCACCTCTGCTACATGACACCCAGCTGGTGGCTCTTCCACCGATCGCTCTCCTGGGACTCAGACTGGCGACGGGCAGAAAGGGTAGGAGACAGGCAAGTCCTGGCAAATAGTCGTTCAACAAACATTCACAATGCCTAGTGCGTGTTCAGGCTCAGTGCCAGGCCCAGGGAGCCAGAGTAGGGTTTCCACGGACAGCTCTGCAGGTTGTGTGTTGAGTAAAGGCACATCCCTGGGAGAGCGGGGCTCCACGTGCCAACTGGAACCCCTGGTGGCAGAGGAGGAGGATTTTCTTTGTACAGTGGGCCATTAGCTGCCAAGCCATCGTCCTGGGCTGGTGCCCACACAGAATGGGCTCGTGACAGCTCTTCAGAGATGAACGTAACGCAGTTCCTCATCCAAAGGCCCTCGGCATGGTGGGGGAGAAAAATATGCCTATGAGGATAAGCAGTCATTTAGCAAACATTTATTGAGCACCTAATGTTTGCCAAGCACCGTGCTGGGAGAGAGAGAGGTGAGTAATATACATTTTCTGCCCTCCAGGCGTATAGACTCCTTGGAAGAGATGGATTTACATGCCTGGGCCTGCCCTTCCTTTTCCCCTTTCCTTCCTTCATTGCAAACAATCTTCAGGAATACCTGGGAGGTGAGAGTAGCGGCTCTGCACTCAGTGCCTGCATTCCAGTCTG